TGAAATCCAGATAAGTGGAATACATATAAGAGCTGCAGTACCTTCCCAAAGGGTTTGTATTTCTGTCCTGAGATTTATACAGCTTTGCAACACACCACAGTCCTGCTCTGCAGGAGAAGGGAAAATAACAGCCTCCTATTACCAGCATGCTTCAGTTTTGTAGCAAAGCATTACTGAAAGCATGATTGTTAACGTAAGGCTTTTCAGTACATTTTCAATGTCTACAAAAATCCAGTTTTCTTTACCATCCATTGGGTGATATAGTAAAGCTGGCCATACACTTATTTTTTTCGTTCAAACTGCAGGCTGAAAAAAAAAAATGGAAAAAAAAATCCTCCATCAGAAGGCCTGTTGTTGCCTTTGTATTCTAACAGTAGCCACCAACCACTGTCAGATTACCCGGAGAGAGACGGTAGCAGATTGGCTGCCCACTCTGTTCATTTGAAGATTTTCTAACTGGCTCCTTCGATTAGCTGATGTCGGCACTAAGGGTGCCGACATCAGTACCCACAATGCAAATTTCGGACGGTTCTTGACTAAAATCGCTTATGTATGTCCAGCTTAAGTCTGTCACAGTAAACTTTTGAGATGTCCACAAGCCGTCCAACTGAGGGGTGGGCATCAACAAATAAACACTAACAGGCCCAAAGAAAACAAGAGAATTGGGGGATGCCTGCAGCTCAAATAGCTGCCTAAAGTACCTTGCACCCAAAGCCGCAATTAGATGAGCCAGAACCATCCACCTAAAATTTAGAGATTGTGTTACCAAAAGTCCAGATGGCAGCCTTACAAACCTGAGCAACAGTTGCCGGATGCCAAAAGTCCAAAAAATACTCGAGTGCACCTTGACAGGAAAAGTTGGAACCCGATCTTTGAGACCATAGGCTTGCATATGCTGGTATGCCCGAGCTAGTGATAGATGGTGGAAAGAGAAGCCAGTGCATCCTTTCGGGGTCTAGCAGGGATGACAATTGGGGAATTAGTCTGTCCGAAAGAAGCAGTGACTAAGATCTAGGACAGTGGTAGCGAACCTATGGCACGCAGGGCCCTCTCTGCTGACACATGAGCCCAGGTTCAGGGACCACCAATGAAAATAGATCCGACTGTCCCAGATCGCCTGGGCATCCGATCTGGGCCAGTTACAATCAGGCAGTGGCCTCTAAACAGGCTTATTAGACGGCTGCTTCCAATATGCCTGTTTAAGGGGCACTGCGGCTGCCTGATTATGCCCTGCCCGGATCGCTTACTGAGGCGATCCCGGACGGTCGGATCCATTGAGCAGCAGCTTAAAATTAACAAAAAAGTGAGACATGCTGGTAGGAGGGTTATTCCCATGGTTGGCCTACAGTTTGCCAGGGTCCAATCCTCCTGTAAGTGGTACTATAATGCAAAATGTATAATTTCCTGTGCTCCTCAATGGACAAGGTGACAGACTATAATGTCTTCCCACTACAAAAAATGTAAATGAATTACACTAACCTAATGACTTAAACATCCCATACATGTTAAAGTTACAAGCATGTAGGTATACCTTAGGTGGATCAATAAGAAGTTGATGAAACTCTGGTAAACGCTGCTTGATAGCCATTAGTGTGCCTAAACTGGCCTGGGTATTAGAGGACCCATCTAATCCAGAGGCATCCATTTCGAGCCCTTCCAGGGTGCAGTAGAAGGCAGTTAATCCACCCAGCTCAGCTCTGCAAAAGAACCAAGGATACACAAATCAAAAGAGAAAAATATATGGAAAAAAATATATAAAAACAAAAACCAGCATAGGAACCTTTTTAAAATCAAAACTTCACAACTTTAAAACTAAACACCACATAAATATAAATGTAAATAAATATTACACAGATTTTTGTTTTTAATGCAAGCAACCCCCTGTATAAGAGAACTTGGGATTGGGAAAGGAAAAGCCAGCAAAAAAAAAACCAAACAAAAACAATGGGCTAAATGCAATAAGCTACTTTAACCACCTGCTGCTTCGAGTGCGGGTGTGCGGTTTTAACGTCCAATCCCGTGCCCACTAGTCAGCGGGCACGAGCGGGAAATCAGCCTGGAATGTAAACAGCCAGCGATGGCTGTTAACATACAAGCGTTCAGGGTGCGAGCCCGGGACCAGCACAGCAGCTCTGCAGCCGGAGATCAATACACGATCTCAGTTTGATCTCCTCCTCCTCTTCGGAATGCAGGAAGTGATGTGTATTACATCACTTCCACATTCCTCTGTCACTCTCCGGTACAGAAACCGAAGATAAGCTGGTGAAGCAGATCTGCGCTTCATCAGCTTCTCTGGGGGTCCCTAGGTGACATTAGGGGTCTTAAAGACCCATGATGTCTCCATAAAGAGGATCTGACACTGAAAATTGGCTATCACAAAGGGGGCTTGTTAGTCCCCTATGTGATAGCAATAAAGCTAAGTGGAAAAAAAAAGATTTAAAAGAATGGTAAAAAAAAAAAAAAAAAAATTAAGTCACATATAAAAAGGTAATACAAATTTTTTTTAAGTCCCCCACCCCCCACTTACATATGCAAACATGCGTTGAGTGCGCCTATGTGCAGAAACGACGATTGCATCCATTACGCCGCACATGTTACATATTGCCACGAACATCGGAGTGAGAGCAATAATTCTAGGCCCAATCACCGATAACACTAAACTGATGAGCGGTAAAAGCTTTTAAAGCGTCGCCTATGGCCAATTTTGGGTATAGTAGTTTTTGCGAGTTCGCGGGAGCACGCATTTTAAAGCTTGACATGTTTGGTGTCTTTTTACCCGTCTTTTATATTTTGCCCAAAATTTGGGTAATTGTTGTATAACATAACGTAGGGAAAACAGGTTGGTTTTTTTTTTTTTCAAAATTGTTGGTCCTTTTTTCGTTATATAGTAAAAAATAAAACCCCAGTGGTGATTAACCAGTTGACATACGCGGTGTTAAACCCCCTTCCCATCCAGGCCATTTTTCAGTATTCAGCGCTGCGGTACTTTGACATTTATTCCGTCATGGAGCGCTGTACTGAAATTTTATACCCTTTTTTGGGGACAGATAGAGCTTTCTTTTGGTGGTATTTATTCACCACTGGGGTTTTTATTTTTTTACTATATTATTAAGGAAAAATTACCGAATTTTTTTTTTTTAAAAAACAGTTTCCCCTATATTAAATGATAAAACATTTATTAGTACCCAATTTTTTGGTAAAATATAAAAGACGGGGTTACGTCGGGTAAAAAGACACCAAACATGTCAAGCCTTAAAATTGCGTGCGCGAAACCTCAAAAAACGATAATACCCAAAATTGGCCATAGGCGACGCTTTAAAAGCTGTTACCGCTCATCAGTTTAGTGTTATCAGTGATTGATGGCCCTAAAATGATTGCTCTCACTGTGACTCTATATAATAGCAAAGGCACACTGACAGGTCCTCTTTATGGAGACATTAGGGGTCTCTAGGACCCCTAATATCACCTGTGGACCCCAAAAGAAGCTGATGAAGCAGAGATGGGGGGCGTGATCGCCGCGAACGAGCACATATAGGCGATCGGCGGGCTATGGACCCGCTGATCGCCTATATGTGAAACACCCGGTAACGGGTGTGTTTACTGGTCGGATCTTTTCTGCCCGTGCGTGCCCGCTAGGGGGCGCGCGCGAGCAGAAAATAATTGCCGTCTGGAGACGGCAACCCGCAAATGCAGCAGTGCCGTCCGTCCGTTTTTTTACTACGGGCGGACGGCAAGAGGTTAAATACCACCAAAAGAAAGCTCTATCTGTTCCCAAAAAAATTGTATAAAATTCATTTCAGTACAGTGTTGCATGACGGAATATATGTCAGTAAAAATACCGCAGTGCTGAATACTGAAAAATGGCCTGGACAGGAAGGGGGTGTGCACACCCCGGTCAGCAAGTGGTTTAGTAAACCCTCATAGGCAAGGCCTATGGGCCACTTAACTTAGTTTTGAATAGTATTTTAACTGTAATGCTTTATAATGTAAAGCGCTGCGCAAACTATTGGCACTATATAAAACCTGAAAAACATATTTGGAAGAGAATGCACACTGAGCAGGGGGATGACATCAGTCTCCCATTGTCTGATCACACCTCAAAAGTATCATCCTCGTACATCTGAGGACTGAATGAACAGAAACCGCTATGCAGGTTACCAGCTACCATATATGTATTTCATCCATGTCCCATTTTTTCCTTCTGCTTCTTTGGAGGTCCTTTGGTTGGGACGAATGGGATGGCTTCCTCCCCTACAACTGGGACCCTCCTTGTTTTTACTTAAGACTTTGAAGTTTATCAAGGAGCACGGGCTGCATGGAGTTAAGCCTGATCTGTGGAAACCAAAGACTATCTACAAGCTCATTAGGGGAAAGGACATTGTGGAGACTGTTGCGGGCCTGCCTCTGGGCACTTGTAAATTTGACTGAGGACTTACCAAAGGGCATAAAGATCTGGCATGGATGGTGACCAAGGGTGGGTTGCCCGCGGTACCTTTCATGCATATCAGAAACCTGTGCAGATACAGGCAATGCCCATGATGCATCACCAAAGAAGAAACTGCTTTGCTTCTCTTCTGGCTATGCCCCTTTGCACAGGCCCCGTTGGGGGCACTGGGACATGACTTCAAAGACTGTGCCACAGGCAGCGATTACTCACTTTGGAATGTTGTATGGACCGTTTTGTGGAGAGTTTACAGAGGACGAGATTGATGGCGCCTGGCGGGTCATGTGTTGCTTCAAGGATGCTTTGTGATGTGCCAGGAAGCACTTCATCCACCAGAGGGAGAGGATGTCTATTGAGGACTGTCGCAGGCTGGTTCAGTCTGCTCAGGGACTATAACTCGTTCCCTGCCGACGTAAGGTATACATAGGAGCAAAACCATTTCCAGCTGGCCATGTCATTATGCCTTGCACCGCTGGCATTCAGCCTCCTGTTATAAGGTCATAGTCGCTTCAGAGGCCATAAACTTCGATATTAAAAGGCTTCCCATGGCTCCCTTTTGTAAATTAATAGGTCATCAACAGCTGACAAGCTGACAGCTAATCATACAAAATGTTCCAGCCGCGCTCTTTCCCACTGGGAGCCTGCTGCAGTATGTCGCCCCACCAGTATCGGCAAGGTCTGCAGGGACACAGCTGCATGCACCCTACGGGGAGGAGAGACCTGTCAGGAGACCGAGCGGGGCAGTGTGGGGTGACAGGCAGGAGGGAGCAGAGCAGCTCAGGAGAGCTGAGGATCTTACCGATCCTTCCCTGTGCAGCACAAACACCGAGTGATCAGTACTGATCACTCAATGTTTGTAAATAACTGAGGACATAGTGATTACTATGTCCTCAGTTATGAATGAACAGGAAGTGATATAAATCAATTCCTGTTCATTCATGACTGGAGGAAAGAGTAATCACTTACTATGTGCTCAGTTTATAAATGAACAGGAGCACTCTGTACAGAGGCTTCCCATCAAATTATAACTGGGGAGAGCACTATGCCTCCTCACTTAATGAATGAACAGGAAGCCTGTGTACCGCGTGCTCGCATTGCAGTGCGTTGTAGTACGCTCTGTTGTGATTGTGCTGTGATGCTCCTGAGTTTTATCATAGCAGCAAAGAAAGGGCACTGCAGATCAGGCGTTACCACTAAGTTGCTTATTTACTATTTTGCCAAAAGGTATTTGACAAAAGGTATAAACATTTACAAATAATTTATTAACTCAGTATAGTTTTGTTTCAGTCTTCGTAGAAATTTTGTAAATTATGGGGGGGGGGGGGGTGCGTCCTCTGAATGATGTGATTTTTAGCGAAAATATTGATTTGAAAATAGTGTGTGTGTAGCAGGAACAAAGTGTGAGTGTGTGTGTAGCAGGAACAAAGTGTGCGTGTGTGTGTAGCAGGAACAAAGTGTGTGTGTGTGTGTAGAAGGAACAAAGTGTGTGTGTGTG